AAGGCACGACAGGCAGCTGTACAAGACAGTCTCTGATAGATGCTGTCGCACACACAAACGCAAGCGTGCACGCATGCACACATGCAGCACAGTGGCTCCATCTTACCGACACAGAGCCAGAGTAGTGCAGCACAGCAGAGGTAATTGAACAGCGGTTGCTATGGAAACAGGGGAAACGGTTGCTGACGGTCGGCGCTGTGCCCTGGGAGCATCAGACTTGCCTCTATTAAACATACATACATCATGTACTCACAGCACACACGCCTTTATGCTCTCATGTTTTGTCTTTTTTTTTTTTGAACATTCAAAAAACCAATAAGGCAGAATGTACAGCTGCTCTGCAGCGGTGCTGTGTGCACGGGCTTAACCGCCATAGTGTTTTAAGCTTCTTTTAAGCCTTGTGCCTTTGTCTTAAATGAGCTTAAATCCACAGTGTGTGTGTGTGTGTGTGTGTGTGTGTGTGTGTGTGTGTGTGTGTGTACTGGGCAGATGCTCCATCGAGCGTGAAGATGCAGCCACTGAAAGAACCATCGAGATTTACTCACACACTTCACATCCAAACGTAGACAAAACCTGACCAAGGATTTTTTTCCCCCAACAAGTATTCAGCACTTCAGAAAGCTGACTGCCTGGCAAATGTAGAACCTACAGGAACATCTAGCCATATGGGAACCTTATCTAAAGTGGACGCCCTCAGAATTACACTTGACACATGGAATTATCCACCCACGCATCCATGCGTCCTCTCCAAAGAGGATATACCCTCCTATATACTGTGTGCACATTTGGAGCCGGGGCACACATCTACACACTATAGGTACGGGCTGGTCCTTTTATAGCACGGCCATATCTGCTTGTTCAAGAGAGCGTACCTGGGCTTGAATGTCTGCTATTTACTTATTTATTTGTGAAAATCATTCCTTCATAGGCGATAAAGACAAACGGCAACAAAGACTGATAATCTGCATCCATATACTCCACATCACTCAGCACAGCTGCATGTGAGAAAGCAAATGTCTGACTCATTCACACGGCATTAAATGGTCTTTACGCCGTGAGCTGCCTCGTACACAAAGTTCATGCAATGCCTCATTACGTCCATGAGAAAATAGCGCAGGTAGCCAGTGGCCATTATGTTTCCTGCCTCCTGCACTCTCTGCAAGAAAGCAGCTGAATTAAAGCAGGACATATCTAGAAAACTAGTCTCTGGCCTTCTCCAAACTATACATTTTCTTGCTCCTTTACTCTTCATTTAAAGAAATTCTCCTACTCTTACTCCCTAAAAACACAGGCAATAATAAAAACAAGACATTTTCCAAATGCTAATACCATGCCTCTTTGTAATTGGCAGAATTACTGCAGTAGATCTCTTGGTGTTAATGATCAGCGGGCTCATGTACTGAGACGTTTGTCCGAGAGATACGTTTAAAACATTCAACAGGCTTTTTATGACTTTAAATGTTAATTTTTTGTGATTTGTATTTTTTTTATTGCCTTTTAGCGATATATTGGATAAACTGCTTCCACTAAATTGTTTCGTTCTTGTTCAAAGTATCACGTTCTGATTTTAAACTGAGCAAGTTGAGACTTTGCATTTAAAAGGATCTGAGCTTTCCCAGTGTGAATTTTCCTCTTCTCTATCCTTTTGCTTCAGCTACAGATAAAAACAAAAAACTAGATCGTTTTTTACCAAATTAGGTAGAAATGACAACTTTTAAATATCATCAGGTGGGGTAGTGTGAGGTAGTCACACTCGAACGTCAAGGAAGGTGGTAGGGAAGCAGACTATGCAGACATTTTGGATTTCCAAGGTGAGCAATTTATTTGCAGTGAACTTAATTTAATGTATAACTTGACAAAACTTTCCCCAAATCAATTCATTTAACAAAACTCAACATAACATGGCTCTGGTGACACAGCTCACCTCTCCTCTCTCCTGCATCTGGTAGAGACTGGCTTTAAATAGGGCCATCAATT